TTATTATAATTATTATTATTATTATTATATTATAATTATTATTAATTATTATTATTATAATTATTATAATAATAATTATTATTATTATATTATAATAATTATTATTATAATAATAATAATAATAATAATTATTATTATTATTATTATTTTTGTAAAAGAATGTGGGGGTATTTTTGTAAACAAATATTTTTTTAATAGTCTTTATACAAGGCTTGCTATTTCCAATACATCAAACCAAACAATATATAAGAAATAATGCAAGCATAACTAATGCAAGCATTACTAATGCTTGCATTACTAATGCATGCATTACTAATACATCATATTCAGCATTATTCTTATACACTCTACCAAACGACCCCTTAGTGTTAACAGAATTTTTTTCGTGAATTGTGCTGGTTTGGATCTAGATGTATGAAGTTCGAGCGTTCTGGGAATGGAAAAAAATTATGTTGTTAGTGTTGCTATAATGCAAATCCGAATTGACTCATATCCCAATGAACCTAAATGAAAACAAAAAGGGTAAAGTTCCAATCAAAAGCTACCAAGAATCATAATTATTGTCAACAACTCAATATACTAAATTCAGAATTATTGAATGCTAACTCACAAACTACCAAATGTCCTACCAGCAGTCTCGCTCTTTGAAAATTCTATTCAAATAGGAAAAGCCAACCGGCCAATACAAGCCAAAAAGCACAAATTTTATTGCAGTTCCCACGAAAATGTCGCTGGATTCTTCTAAATTACCTATTTGCTCCGTTTCAATTTATGTTATATTATTTGAATTTTGACCCAGCATAAATTTTATTTTTAAAAAATAAAATAAGATTTATAAGATCTGAAATGTTTTTTTGACTATCTGTGTGGCTATAAATAATTCATTAGGGGTCGTTTGGTTTGAAAATGAGTTATGATGGGATAAGTTATATTGGGATAAGTTATGTTGGGATTAGTTATGATGGGATAAGTTGTGTTGGGATTATTTTTTATTGAGGGGTCGTTTGGTGTGAGGGATAATACCAAATAGTCCCGGGATTAAATTATAGTACCGCTTATTTAGTTGTTTGGTTGGCAAGTTCGGGATAACTTATCCCGGGATTAATAATTAATACCGGGATAAGTTATCCCTCTCTTGGGGTGGTATAGTAATCCCGGGATAACTTATCCCGGGATAAAATAGGTAAATGACAAAAATGTCTCTTTCAACCCTTTTGTTATATCACTTTTTACATTAATGAAGGGCATTTTTGTAAACAAATAAATTGTTCTTAAAATTTATTATTTTGAATACAACAAACCAAACACTCAATAAAAAATAATCTCAACACAACTTATCCCATCATAACTAATCCCAACATAACTTATCCCAACATAATTTATCCCATCATAACTCATTTTCAAACCAAACGACCCCTGAGTGTTTGGTTTGTTGTATTCAAAATAATAAATTTTAAGAACAATTTATTTGTTTACAAAAATGCCCTTCATTAATGTAAAAAGTGATATAACAAAAGGGTTGAAAGAGACATTTTTGTCATTTACCTATTTTATCCCGGGATAAGTTATCCCGGGATTACTATACCACCCAAGGAGAGGGATAACTTATCCCGGTACTAATTATTAATCCCGGGATAAGTTATCCCGAACTTGCCAACCAAACAACAAAATAAGCGGTACTATAATTTAATCCCGGGACTATTTGTTATTATACCTCACACCAAACGAGCCCTAAGGGTAAAAGAGAAATTATATAATTAAATCCTTTTCAATTATAAAAAAAAGTGACATTCTACTTGGGATGGATTAAGCGGACCTTGATACCAAAAGGTTATATATACATCGACTACTTTTATATATATTTTATAAATTAATTGGCCGGATTATACATTGATAAATATCTTGTCTTTAATTATTTATTGACTTCTCCTTTCATAATTAAACTTGCAATCGACCATGTGGATAATCTTTCATTGTAACTTTTCGATCATTTGTGAAAAACGTTGAGCATTGCTTCTTCAAATTATTTGATAGAAAAACACATCATCATCAACCATGGGCGAAGATAAGGCCGTAAGGGTTCATCCAAACCTCACACTCTAGAAAATGATATAGTATATACAAGATTAAAATTAATACTTTTGTATGTATGTATAAATATATACATGTTGAATTTGGTTTAATTTCTTTTTAAAATATCTTGAATAGGGGAAATTCTGAGTTAGCCAATCGGCACTATCACAAATCTATTTTTTGTTTGTTGTCATAAATAAAATATTGAAAAACCAAAAACAGGCCCACACGACATGGGGAATCTGCCATGCCAATCACAAAAAAGGTAGTACTAGTAATTACAATAAGAAATCTAGGCTGAAAAAAAAGAAGAGAAGAAATTAATACTTTATGTCTTAAAATATTTATCGTCCTTATAAAAAATAAGAAAAATCTTTTTGATAAAAAAAATTGGCCAGAATTTGATCACAATGGTAAAATAACATTATATTCCTACTTGTTACTCCCATAGTCCGCTTTTGCTGGTTTAATATATTAAGAATATATTTTTATTTGTCAATTTTATGATATTGAGAAAATAAATTTTTATTTTATATTATTTTTTCAACATTAATTACTCGTTTTTTCGAATCATTTTTCAAGACTTAAGATTATACATCAATTAATACGAGTATTGCAATAAAATACTTATATTTATTTTATCTAGAAACGCGTAAAGTTCAAAGTTAACAAGTAAAAGTAAGGGTAATGCTAAATGACCAGAAAATTTGGCCAGAAATTTAAAAATTTTATAATATCCTTTTTATTTAAAAATAAACTGATCTTTTTTCACTTTTTAATTAAAAGGTATTAAAGTTAAAAGGGTAAAAATGTTCAAAAAGGTAAAATAACATATTTATTTTAAAATTCTGGTCAAATTTTCTGGCTAAAAGGATTTTTCCTAAAAGTAAATGGATGGAGTATTTAAAAGTTTAAGATAAAATTATTATTTTTAGTACTGGTAATTATTCGTAAGACTACAAATACTTTATTATGAGTTATGACATAAATAGAGTGAATATTTAATGGATGGAGTATTTAAAAGTTTAAGATAAAATTATTATTTTTAGTACTGGTAATTATTCGTAAGACTACAAATTCTTTATTATGAGTTATGACATAAATAGAGTGAATATTTAATGAGGAAAAAATAAATTTTAAGACATAAATATGGGTAAAAATAGGTCAACTTTCCTTTTAATTATTTCCTTAATTTCATATTACTTAACTCTGATTGAAGTGACACACCTTAAGAATATGTAGATATGCGATGTTTTAGGATATCTTGTATCTTATTTATTAACTGTGATTTAATTTACTCATCCGGTAAAATTGTATAATTAAAAAAATTGTAAGAGTTTTCACAACTCGAAGAATATTCATATTTATGAGGAGTAAAATACAACTTAGAAATCTAAATTGTATGTCCAAATAAAATTTCAACTTAATTTAATTTTATGTTTTTTATTTTAAATTATGATTTTATAGATAATTTTATATTCCATGTTCAAATGATATCAAGTAAGAAGGATGGAAAAGGAGTATATAATAAATTTAATTATGCTCCACAGCTATAGTTTGCATATTTACGGGATGTAGCTATAGTTTAAGCTACTCCGTTTGTATAATTCGTGGGTTTGTATAATTCGCAAGTTTGTATAATTCGTGTGTACATTTGTATAATTCAGTTATTTTTGTATAAACTCGAAATAACGAATTTATACAATTACAATCATCTGAAGTATATAAATAGTTATACAAATTATATTAGACAAAATTACATTATACAAAAATTATACAAATTCAAAATTAATTATACCCTAAATTCTTGCTAAGTTAAGAAGTATTTTTAACAATTCTCTCTCTTTTTTTATTAAGAGGATCATGCTCCTATAACAGTTTGAGACACTTGCTATGCCATATACTGATATATCGGTGATTTATCTAAATTTAATTAGTCAAATAATATTTTTAAGATTATCAATAATTTGAGACGAAACTAATAACTTGTATCAAGTTTCCAATATTTCTCCTCTCTTAAAAAAGAAAAGAAAAAAAAGAGAGGGTTGACAAAGTCATACAACGACGTGCTTTTTCCTCACGGAACTCCCGCGTTTGGTGCCGCAACTTTTTGCCCCCCTCCCCCTACCAAACCCTTTTTTTCCCTTCTCAAGTCCATTCATTTCATGTTTCGTCAATCATCATCATAATTTTATTTGTCCAAAAAAAATATTTTTTTTTTACTTAAATAAAAGAGGAATATTGACTATTGTATAAACTATATAAAGAAACCTTTTTTTCTTTTCTTCTTTCTGCTTGTACAAAAGAAACTATACAATCTGAAAATTTGTCAAGTGTGTTCTTCTCATATGTTGATGTGTTTGCTTCTTTTAATAGAATATAACTATCAATTTAATGCAAGCAATTTATTAAGTCTAAAACCTCAATATAGTATATTACTAGCTATTAATCACCTTAGTACCTTAACAAAGTCTCATTGACAAAAATATTTTCATGCAATTGTCTACCACTACTATTCAGTAGCAAAATTATTTGAGTCTAAGTTTTGAGTTACAAATTTTAATACAAGGAGTAATTATTTTTTTAAGGGGTTGACTTTTGATAAATATCACAACTAATAACCTATAGCCTTTATTATAAATAATTTTTTTTTAAATAGTTGAACATTCTTCTTCATTACATAATTATTTTTATATCCCGTTGAAATTTGATTAATTTAAATTTACATCATAAAGCCTATTCGTAGAAAATATTTCTAGTAAGAATTTTTTTTTTTCATATTCGAAGCACAAAGTCGAGACGTGGTTAAGGGAAGAGGAGACCCCATCCCCTGTCCCATTTGGTTAGTTAACTTTCTTGCGTTAAAGGAAACCAACTCTGTTTAAAGAAACAATATAAAAAGTCTCTTCTATGGACGAATGACAATAATCATCTCCAATTCATTTGGGAGGAAGTTGTCCATATTTTCTTTCATTATCACAACTACAAATCTGTATAGCTTTTCCTTGTAATACATCAAATTTGGTGTAGCCATTACCAAGTCCAAGAAAAATAGCTATTCGAAAGTGACACAAAATTGAGCAGAGAGTAGTCAAAAGGTCAGTAGAACAACAAGAGAAAGAGGACGGCACGAATAGCAGAAAAACGAGAGAACCCAGTTGGTTGGAAAAGGGTATCCATTGATATTGTTTTTCAAGAATAATTCAATCTGCAGATCAACTGTTTGATTTATTGCTTCACTGAGAAATATGAGCAATAAAGCACCTATTAAGTTAGATGATGAGCAGTTGGCTGAACTGCGAGAAATTTTCCGATCATTCGACAGAAATGATGATGGGAGTCTGACCCAACTCGAGCTTGGCGCGCTATTGAGGTCCCTTGGTTTAAAACCAAGTCCTGATCAGCTCGAAACTTTGATTCAAAAGGCGGATAAAAATGACAATGGCCTTGTTGAATTCTCGGAGTTTGTATCACTCGTTGCACCGGAACTTCTTCCAGCGAAGTCCCCTTACACAGAGGAACAATTGAAACAGCTATTTAAGATGTTTGATAGGGATGGAAATGGTTATATAACGGCTGCAGAATTGGCTCATTCTATGGCGAAGCTTGGACATGCTTTGACTGCTGAAGAACTTACTGGGATGATCAGAGAAGCTGATACTGATGGAGATGGCAGGATCAGCTATCAGGAATTCACTCAGGCGATTTCTTCGGCTGCTTTTGATAACTCTTGGGCTTGATATGTGAATCTCCTTTCGGTATATCTTGTCAATTTCTGTTCATCTAGTTTAGATATATATGTTTTGTATGTTAATGTGCTTTTTGTTGTATGTGTTTTAGTTAGTTTACTTTCCGAGTTTCTCTGCGAATGTCAAGGTTATAGTTAAATGTGTATATTATTTCAAAGGATGCTTGCTGTATAGTTAATGGAGTTTAAACTGATATACTCTCTTCTACCTGACTTTTTCTCCCATTAATTTGGCCCTATATTAAGTTTTACTGGATTCTGTGATCGAGTAATACATAAACTTTACCGGATGAATTTGGACTTTAAATGAACATGTAAGTGTGATCAAGTTAGATCCTGGATGTTATTTCTTACCTTTTGAATTTGTCAATAGAAATGGGTCAAAAAATTCTTTGCTTTAACACGAATCAGTGAAAACACCATCCCAGAAAACAGGGGGTCTAGACTACATCTATCAGTAGTTTTAGTTATTTGGCACAGTAATATTTGAATTTATGAATGAACTGCTGAGTTAACAGACAGTCGACAGCCAATTTGTCTTGGTTTTCAAAAGGAGTTTACTTCGCTAAGCAATTTTGTTACTCTTGCGTTTTCTCTGAGCTCTCTTGGTTCAGCCTTTATATAAGGGATTCATATAACTAATCCTAACTAAAATTGCCTCTAGACGTAGTTATAATTGAAATGAATGTTGTTTGGCAGAAGAAAGGAATATGTATGCAAGGACGGTTAGCATGGGGTTAACCTTCTTCGTGCTTAACCTAACCACAAGCTGGAAATTCATACTCTACTTCCTAATACCAACATAACTAAAATGGGACTAAGATATAATGGAACAAACATTTTCTGGCTACAGAAAAGAAATATATATGATTGCAATGGTCTGGATGGTGGCATAGGTATAAGCATTCTTTGATTTTAACCTAATCACGAGGCCAGGAAATTTATAGTCTCCTTGTTAATATTAATGTTTCATTAAATGTAGTAGCAATCAAATAGGAGAATAGATCGACTTATGCTCTATATATTCTGATCAGAGAATTTCAATTATCTACTTGTAGCAGGCCCCTATTCTTAGCAAAATAGTTGGAAATGAGCGTTGGCACCAAATGAAGAAGAAGAGGATTTAAGATGCAGAGTTGGTGTTGTCGTGTGCTTACATCTTAATGTATTGCTTCTATCTGTGATGATGCAACATTATCCTAGTTTAGCATCCGATAGAACGTTTCTTGCCAAGAGAAAAGACTATTTTTGTCATTCATTTTCCGTTATGATCAATCGTTGTAGAGTAAATAATATTGTTTGAGTGATAATTTGCAGTTTACATTAAGAGTAGTTTTTTCATACAAGGGTTTCATTAAACATAACAACGTTTTCTTCCCAGCATAACTAAATTTGATTAAACAGAAAATAATTAAATCTAGATAGGAACAAGCAATTGTTTCACTATTATTTGAAAGATATGCAATAATCCAAGGAGTATGACACAAAATTGTTCTCTAAAATAATACTAATACATAAGCAGCAGTCAATAAGTGCTTAATTTTGCAATCTTATTGGCTTCATTATATTGTATCCTTAAACTAGTCTGAAAGAGTGAATCTTCTCAGGTACTGGAAGTGTGCAACCAAAAGGATTAACCCTTGTTGTTATCCCGTGAGTTTCAGGCATCCAAGTACATAATAAAGCTTGTTGAATAAATGGATGTTGGAGTACCTGTTGTGTCGTCCATCTTCTTAGAGGGTCCTTTATCAAACAATTGTACAAAAAATCTCTGGCACAGGAACATTACTTGGAATCATTGGGTCTTCATTCATAATTTTCCATTGCAACTCCCTAGTGTCGTGATAAATCCAAACATGACACCCAGTCATCATCTCTGCCACAGTACACCCTAACGACCATATATCATAAGCTTTGCCATGAAAACCGCTGATCAAAGATTCTGGGGGCGCGTAAGGTAGAGTCCCTCTATTGCTCATCGTAGCACCAATCATATATGCCATTCCTTCAGCAACTCTCAACGACAATCCAACTTGTACATCCCACCACGTTCAGCATTGTCGAAAATCAAAATATTAGCAGGTTTAATATCACAATGAACCCACCCTTTATCATGAACGTGTTGAATACCCTTTAAGAGTTGATATGCATAGAAACCTACTTCCACTTCAGACATCTGTATCCTTCTCATTTTCGAATTAATGATCAAATCGTGCAGCGATCCACCAGATGCATATTCAAGAAACAGATTGTAAGTTGGAATATTACCATTGTCGATGCTAACGTCTGCTCCAATGAATTGAACCACGTAAGGAGAACCTTGAGGGTTGTCAAGATTTCTGCTTCTTCTTGGAGTGAAATAAAACGGTACATATCAGCAACAGAAAAACCTAACCAAAAATGATTCGTCTTCACTGCATAATAAACTTTGCCGTAAGAGCCAGCACCAAGAACGTAAAGCTCCTCCCACTGATCCATAATAATATTTTCACTTTGTTCTTTCTAATTTGTTGTTGAATGATTGTTAAAAATAATAAAAGGTAGTTGCTTTTTATAGGGAAAAAAATTATTCAATCCTTAGTTAATATGGAAAAGGAGAAGAGGTATTTTGGTATCTTTTGCATTTGTTACCATTATATTTATTTTTGGTAACTTCCTAAATCAAATTTTGAGTGCAACGCGGTATACACTTATTTGTAGTATCAAAAAGATTCTAATGAATAATTTTAATTTTTAAAATAGTTTTTCCTAAAAATTTATAGACACCACATAATTAAATAGATATTGAAAAGGAAAATCTGTTTATATGGTTAAATTGACCATGAAGCTAATTACTGTTAAGTTGAGTAACCACGTAGACATTCAACTCGAAATTATTCTAGGTACTTAAACCAAATAAAGTTAAATTTAAAGAACATAAATGTAATTCTATACTCTTGAAAAAAAATGTAACTTGTTATTATAATTATAAGAAATTAAAGCTCAACTTTAAAAAGGTTTTTCTTCTATCCCAGATGTTTCACTTCTTGAGAATCAACTTACTTGAATTTTGACTTATATTTTAAGGTGCATTTTCTCACCATATTAATATGAGAATAATTATAACTTATATATTTTTTTAAATAATTTTTGAATATCTAAATTTTAAATATTGAAATATTGAATTAATCTAATCTAATTTAGCTCTAAAGATTAATCAAATGGACATTACATTATTGAGAAGCAGGAAATACTTACTATCCGAATAACTCACTCATTCATAATTGGGAAAATGCATAAGTACCCCCAGCCTATGCCCGAAATCCCAGAGACACACATAACCTTTACTAAGGTCCTATTACCCCCCCGAACTTAATTTATCTATAATATTCTACCGCTTTTCGGCCTACGTGGCACTATCCTTGAAAAAAATGTCAACATGCGCTGGGCCCACCAGATAATGCCACGTAGTTTTCTGGTATTTATACCCACCCCGGGCATCACAGTACAACCCCACTCCCCACTTAACATTTGATTCTACTCTTTTCCTTAACAACCTCATTTTCAATTCTGTCAAAAAATTCTTTGCTCTAACACGAATCAGTGAGAACACCGTCTATATGTATCAGTAGTTTTAGTTATATGGCACAAAAATAGTTGAATTTATGAATGAACTGCTGAGTTAACAGACAGTCGATAGTTAAAAAATAGTTGTTACTCTTGTGTTTTCTCTAAGCTCTCTTGGTTCAGCATATATATACAGGATTCATATAACTAATCCTAACTATAATTGCCTTGTACGTAGTTATAATTGTCGTGTGCTTACTTACATCTTAATGTATGATGATGCAACATTATCCTAGTTTAGCATCCAATATAGAACATTTCTTGCCAAGAGAAAGGCTTTTTGATCATTCATTTTCCTTTATGATCAATCGTACTACTTTCTTTAGACTAAATAATATTGTTTGGGTGATAATTTGCAGTTCTTACATTAAGACTTAAGAGTAGCTGTCAATTCATGATTAATTATATATGACAAGGGTTTCATTAGACATAAAAACATTTTCTTCCCAGCATAACTAAGTTTAATTAAACAGAAAGTAATTATTAAATCTAGATAGGAACAAGTAACTATTTAATTAAACAGAAGTAATTATTCAATCATCCAAGCATATAATAACTAAGTTTAATTAAACAGAAAGTAATTATTAAATCTAGATAAGAACAAGCAACTGTTTAATTAAACAGAAGTAATTATTCAGTCATCCAAGCATATAATAACTAAGTTTAATTAAACAGAAAGTAATTATTAAATCTAGATAGGAACAAGCAACTGTTTAATTAAACAGAAGTAATTATTCAGTCATCCAAGCATATAATAAAGCTTGCTGAATAAATGGATGTTGGAGTAGTTGTTCCGTCGTCCATCTTCTTAGAGGGTCCTTTATAAAACACTTGTACAAAAAATCTCTGGCATTCCCAGAAACAGAAGTCGGAATTATTGGGTCTCCATACATAATATTCCATTGCAAATCATTAATGTTACGATAAGTCCAAACTTGACACCCAGTCATCATCTCTGCCACAGTGCAACCTAGCGACCATATATCATAGGCTTTTCCAGGAAAACCACTGGTCAAAGATTCTGGGGGCGCGTAAGCTAGATCCCCTCGATTGCTCATCACAGTTCCTTGAGCAATTTTCGATGACATTCCAAAGTCACTCAACTTCAAGTGCAACCCAATATGTTGAGCATATTTGAAAATCAAAACATTAGAAGGTTTAATATCACAATGAACCCACCCTGTATTATGAACGTCTTGAATACCCTTTAAGAGTTGATATGCAAAGTAACCTACTTGCTTTTCGGTCATACTTAATATTCCTCTTTTCGAATTGACGATCAAATCATGCAGCGATCCAGCAGATGCATACTCAAGATACAGATTGTAAGTTAGAATATTATTGTCGAGGCTTATGTCTGATCCAAAGAATTGAACCACGTGAGGTGAACCTTTGAGAGTTGTCAAGACTTGTGCTTCTAGTTGGAGTGAACTCGAACGACTAACATCAGCACATTTAACAGCAACAACATCATGAGCACATGACGAAAAAGGATCCATCTTCACTGCATAATAAACTTTGCCGAAACAGCCAGAACCAAGGACGTAAAGCTTCTTCCACTGATTCATAATAATATTTTCACTTTGTTCTCACTAATTTGTTATGTGAAAAATATTAAAAGGGTAGTTGCTTTTTTATAAGAAAAAACTATCCAATATAGTTGATATGGAAAAATTGAAGGGTTAAGCGTGTTACTGTACCTTTGGCAACTTTCGGACAAATTCCATATTTGACATGGAAAGGATAAATTCCATATTTAAGTACACCGTGGTCCGTGGATAGGATATAAAGTGAAGAATAATCATATTCATATTCTTCTAGTTAAATGTTACTCCCTCTGTGATTTTTTTAGGTTTTTATGGTTTTCAAAATAATTGAATTGTTTAAAGTTTAATAATTGAATTGAAATGTTTGAAACTTTTTTCATATTTGTCTTTTTCTTTAATGAAGTTTGATATTTTTTAGGAGATAAATTGCACTACTTACAGAGTTATATTTATGACTTTACAAAAAACAATACTGAAAATTATGGTTTAAATATGTCTTTTGAATGTTTTTCTTAATATGTGTGCATTGCCTCACAAATTCAGATAATATTGTCTCCGTCCCTATTTACTTGTCAAATTTTGACTTGATACACTTATTAAGAAAATAATGATTGATATAATAAGTTTATCATTATACCCCTATTAATTAATAGGATCTCAAACATATTTACTTGCTATATTTTTCAAAAAATTTAACTCAATGTTAATAAATTGGGGTTAATAAAGAAAATAAAATTATTTTTCCTTGAAATGTCAAAAAATTACAAGTAAAAATGAAAATTAAATTAAGAAATATTTGACAAGTGAATAGGAACGGATGAAGTATAAAATAGAGGGAACATTAAGGACGGTATACTTATTTGTAGTTCAAAAAGTTTCTACAAAAGATTCTAATGAATAATCACAGCAACATTTTAAGTGCACCCGTGGTGAACGTTGATATGATAGAAAGTGAAGAATAATCATATCCTTCTAGTTTTTTTTTTTTAATTTTAACGATCCTTGGGCAACCTCCGATCCTATGATGGTTTAATATAAATAAAATAAAAGGGGATATAATCCTAACCTCCGGTCCTATGATGGTTCATAAGTCGACTAGCCTACTAAGGCCTATCTATTTATTCTCATACTAGAAAATGAAACCTAATTATTGTGCACTTAGAAGAGAGGACTCCTCTCAATACCAAGACAGTAGGAAAGCAAAAGAAAAGAGCCTAACCAAAACTAGACCTCTTCCTAGAAGCTATACCTAAGACTATATAGTTTAAAAGACGAAGATAAGCATTCGAAAATGAACAAGTTAAGGTGAAGATCCAATCAATTTCTAAGGTTGTTTTTTGGTCCTCTTCAGTTTTCTTCTTCTGAAACTTGTCATTCTCATTTTGTCTAGGTTGAAGTAACCTCTAGTGTCATGAGGGAGCTGATGTTTTAAATAGTCAATTCATTTCAAGCGGGTTAGATTTAGGATAGGTTGGATCCTAAATAGATCTAGATATTGATTTTAATTTTTAAAATATTTTTTCCTAAAAATTTACAAGTACCACATCATAAAATAGATACAGATATTATTCAAGCTACTTAAACCAAATGAAGTTAAATTTAACGAACATACATGTAATTATATACTCTTAAAGAAAACGTAACTTGTTCTTATAATTATAAAAAAAAAAAAAAATCTCAGAGGATGTTTGGATTGGCATAAAAGCTGATCAAACCTACTTTTAAGTCAATTTTTTTTTACTTTTGAAAGTGTTTGACAAATATAAAAAACAACTTAAAATAAGTTAGAAAGTGTTTGACAAGGTTATAAATGACTTAAAATAAGTTTAAAATAACTTAAAATAAGTCAAAAACCAAAAGTAGGTCTCCCCTACTTTTTATTTTTTGACTTAAAAGTCATTTCAGTTAGACTTTTTATTTTTGATTTAAAAACTATTTTTTAAGCCAATTCCAACGGGCTCACTTTAAGAAGGTTTTTCTTATATCTAAAAATACTTGTCATGTTTCACTTTTCGAGAATCAATTTACTTGAACTTTGACTAATATTTTAATATGCATTTTTTTTCCGGCGAAATGACCTGAGAGGCCCCTGTACTTGGCTTCGTTTGTCAGTTGAACCCTTTTACTCATCAATTTGCCAAATGGACCCTTAAATTCGATGAAACTCTATTTTTAAAATCTCTTTAATCATTGACCGGGCTTATGTGGCACTAAAATGGCTGAATATGACAAATACGTGATCACACGCATTTTGAAGCAAGTGAATACAATATTGTTATTTTAAAATTGTCAAAATTATAAGCAAAACAATAATAAATAATTATTTGTTTTAAAATATTGAAAACTCCTTCTTCTTCACTCCACCCCACCTCGTCCCACCCCCACCCCTTCTCTCTTCTTCTTCTGCCCCACCCCACCCCACCCTTTTTGTCTTCTTCATCTTCAACCTCAGCCCCCATCCACCCCCCACTCTCCCCCTCCCCTACTCCTCTTCTTTTCTTCTTCTTTGACGTACACATTATCACTATAAAATCATCCAATAAATTTTTTTTAAAAAAATATACCATTCACCATTTTTATAAACTTAATTCTTTAAGATCTATTACTTGAACTTACATATAAACATATTTTTTTTCAATTTGAAGTTTTCTTGATATCTCTTTTTATCAAATAAAAATAAATAAAACCCTAAAACATGTGCAAGAATTAATTATAATCTATCACATTTTGTGATTGAGAAATTTTTTAGTGTGAACTATGAAAAAAAGATGAAAATGATGATTTTTATTTTTGGGATGAAAATGGTAGAAGGTGGGAAGGAGGTGAAATGAGTACGTACAGTGAGAGAGAGAAAAAATGCATTTTTTTAATATTATTTATTTTTAAATATTTAATTTCTGATGTGTGATTAGAATAATAATAATAATAATAATGATATGTCATTAAAAAATGACGTGTTATTTCATGTGTAAAATGAGTGTACTACACGCACACCCATTGGATGAGAAAGGGGTCTAAAATATTATGTTTAAATGAATTTAAGGGTTCAGTTGGCAAAGTCATAAGTACAGGGATCCAACTTACAAATCGAGTCAAGTATAAGAGTCTCTCAGGTCATTCCGTCTTTTTTTTCCACCATATAAATATAAGAATAATTGTAACTTAATAATACTTTTTATATATTTTTTGAATTTAAATTTCAAAATATTAAGTTAATTTAATTCAATTTAGCTCAAAAGATTATCAAATGAACATTTGAGAAGTGAAGATCCCTATTGTCTCCCTCTTTCATATCTCTTTATATTATAAACTAATTTATCAACATTGAACACACGTTTTGCATACATATATCTTGTATAAGTAGCTAACAAAAAAATAACTTAGATACTATTTGTTATTGCATTAGAGGCTACAACAGAGTAGAAACAACACAACAATCAAGGTTGGTTGAGGCACACACAGGGCAGAATCTGAAACGAATGTACAATATTGACTGAAATGTACTAGGTTCAGCCAAAAGAAAACAGAAAACACAGACTAAAATTCGAAACCATTCTTTTCCATGACGGCACTGATCTAGTTAGCTTTTATTTGTGCCGGATATGCATCTTCTCCAGACGTTCAGGTCCACTAGTGAAAAAGCCAAAAAGCAGCAACAAAGTAGTTAATGGATTAGCTTCGTTGAATCCACTGCAATATGTCCGGTCGGATCACTCCCTCAAAACCATGTTTCACGTGATTCATGGGTTTGAAACTAGTAGGCAAAACAGTGTTGAACTGCCTGTATTGGATATTTGTTCCAGCTGGGCTTCTTGGTTTCATCATCATGGAAATGGTTGGGTACGCTTTCTGCCATGTGTTTCTAGCTGAGGTAAATAGATGCCTGCTGCTGGATTCCTTGTCCTTGCCAGCACCATATTTCTGGAAAGCTTCGGGCTTGGCAGAGTGAGATGAGTTCCTAAGCTGCTTAGTTGCACTGGTAATTGCATTGTTATCTGAGCCTCGAATATTAGCAGATGGCTTCATTTTGTCAAGCCATCGAAGGATCCAATTACCAAGGTTCCGACCAGCTTCAATATCTCTTTCCTGTACCTTGCGATGAACGGTCAGTGCCATGTCAAATGCAGCTCGTGTTCGCCTGGAAAAGTAAGAAATATTTGAAAAACAATAATACAAGGATGAAGGAACAAAGCAATCAATATTGGACAGAAAAGATCATGAACAAGCATCCAATAACAGGGAATAACCATCCTTAGGCTAATCTGGCAATATTGACAACCTTGTATATTTTCCAATCAACAGGTGACAGGGTACATCTCAAATATGAAGAATAAAAAAGGTTGAGAGAATGTGAAACTACTGTGTGTCGAAAGAGGACCAGTAAACATTAGACAGTAAACACTTCCACAATCTGATCTCACTACCGTAACAAGAAAATTGAGGAATTACGTACTAAATATACCATGGATCATATAAAGCTCAGCACAGATTCATATTCATGATAAACTTGAATGCGTACCCGCTTCACATCAAATACCTAATCAAATTTGCCAGAATTCATGTCATGGATATACTTCCTTGTATCAACACACATAATATTTACTTCTGGGACCTATATTACTGATTGTTGTCATAAAGAATATTCATTCTCAGCTCATCCTGCCGGCTTCAATGCTATATCCAGCCTCTTCTTCCTCCTCATATCAACAGTTGTTCAGGCGTGAACAAGAGAAATTACGCTTATATATTACTCAGAATCATTGTTTGAACAGTATACTATTTCAACATGGCATAACATGAACAATGTGGTGAAGATGTGGTTAGTTTGGTCATATCAGTTGAGATATTTTGACATCTACTACCAACTCAGGACAGTCAACTAACTCATAGATTTTGATGAAGAGAAATATTGAAAGTCTTCTCTTCTAATTTTATTATCCTCACTTTCCTTAAACAGTAAAAGAATCCCTCTTTATCATTTATATATTTACTTTAAATTTCGTGCTTATTGGTGTTCTCAGACATGCAATCAGCATCTCTATCCATATCCTTGCATCTTGAACATAAAGGCTTTGGCAAATCCAACACCTCAAAACACATAAATGATGTAATGTATGACCTAACGTGCCTACACAAATCCAGGAAATATAGGCCCAGTTTTGCATGTTAAACTGAAAAGTGCTCAACTCACCACCTACATGCATCATCAGCTCTAAAAGTATTTAACAAGCAACTGTTCTTGAGATATAAGACAAGCATATATTCCAGTCCCATTGCTTATAGAAAATTTAACGTTCACAAAATTCAAGGAACAAAAGAAAAGAGATGTACCTGTAACAATCTTATTCCAACAAGATTGTCAAATGTCGGGGAGTCCGAGAGATAAAACTGAGAAATGGGACATTAAATCCACCATTACCACTTACTAGAAGAGAATTCATTTTAAACACAAAAAGAAGTAATATCCAATCTAAGAGATCTCTGTTCAATAGTTGGGAACAGAACAAATGGATCTGAAAATCTATATCAACAATATTCAAACAAATAAGAGCAACATCAAATTGTCGAAGCCGGAATAGCAAACGTTTGCCGTTTTATTTGAGAGAACAGCAACCATTGTCACTGAGAATGACTAAAAGCAGAAAGATACATGGGAAGGGTATCATATCAAAAAAGGTCATTTAGGAGAAAGAAGCATATGGTACTATAATCAAGAACCATTACGCTGAGCTAAAATAACAATAAAAAGTTGATAAAGATATAACTATAAGAAAATCACCAAGATCACATTTCCAGCTTAGACACCTATGGGAAGTTCTCCTCTTGACGGACTCCTCCAAGGACAACTTTTCCATTTGCATTGGGAAGAAGTGACAAATTTATCACCGAGTCCTATAGAAACAATGCCAAATACTAGAACATGAAACTGCATATGCATTCAAACTGGACCCTGAAATTGGATGTCTGCCAAATACGCTGATAATTCATCCTAAGCTTCTCTCTTTTTTCCAAATATCGTCCTAAACTTCTTTTCACCTCCCGTCTATTATTTAGTGTCGCACTGTCACACCATAGAAAGCCGAGAGTAGTAACATTAGATGATCACTTTTGTCGTTTCATTTGCTGACACATTACTCTCTCAATCAGTTTTATCCTAATAACTCCCAATTAGTTTTACCCTATTATTACTCTTCCAATGTCTTCCACTGTCCCACACTCTATTTCTCTTGTGGTTCTCCCATTCCTGATAGCAAAGATATTGCCTCAAATTCAACTTTGTCTTCTACCCTTGCCTCTTTTCTCGTTCTTATCCTCTCTCCCATTGTCTTTCTACCCTCCTCCTATCTCTCCTTTCTCCTTTCTATTAGCCTAGTTATTCAGTCATTAGATAAAATACAGAGACCATGTATATTAATGTCCCACATTAACCTCTCTTGAGCCTCTTGCTCTCCATTCCCATCATTTACCTAAAAGCATGAGGACAATGACAATGGCAACCGCCGCAAACACTCAAGTGCTATTGCTTATTGTATGATTAATTATGAAGCTGTTTCTCCAGTTACTATTTTTCACTTTCCTCTCTCTCAGACTTGCCCTGAAATTGAGTGTATACATTGTCGAATCAATATCATATTGAATCAAATTGCTTGTCTCTATTTCCAGTCAACGGATTGATACATTATATAAGCTAAGAAAAACTAAACCTAATATTCACAAAAAAAAAAAAGTATCATTAGAGATCAAAATCAGATCCAATTCAAATAACAAAATACCTTTGAGCGAAATCGCGAAGCCTGGGATACTTTGGACTAATAAGCTTACGCTGAATCCTCAAGAACAGCTTGTAAGTTCGCTTCAGACCCAAAAAATACGCCGTTCCTAATGTGATCTCCCATAGAACCATTTTCTTTCTAGAACTTTCTTCTTCCTCTATCAGTCTCTTCTTCAGGAAATAATTTTTTCTTTTTTTCTTCTTCAAGTTTTATGAGAATATATGGCGTTTTCGTTTTCGTTTTCAACAAGGCAAGTTGAAATCGTCCCGGATAGCCGCCAGAAAGTACCCGCAATTTCCCCTTCTGTCAGCTTTCTGCCTTGTTTCTCTAAATTTGGGCCCATTTTGGGCCACGGTAGACTGAATTTGACCCAACTATTATTTCCGTTCGAGAAAATTTCGTTGGACGGCCCATTTAACTTAGAATAACTTTTTTCAAAAATGACTAGATTAGACTTGATTAGAGGTCAATAGTTATAGTTTGCTTAATTATGATTCATAGCTACATGTTAGAAGGAGAAGAGAAGCAAACAAGATTGGGAGAGAAAGGATAGAGGCAAGAGAGAGGATGAATATGTGTTGTATGCATTGTTTCAAGTTGTATCGCGAAAATAATTGATTTGTATCAATGAATACAATTGTATCGAGTTGTATAAATATTGGAAGACAAATATAATTGTATCAAGTGTATATGTCCCTTGTGTGTTCACTTTGTATCAAGTGTATAAATGAATATAATTATATCAAGTGTATTTGTTTCATGTGTATTCAGTTTGTATTGATGTATTTGAGTGTATCTGCAGTTGATTATAGATTTGTATCAATATAATCAAGTGTATTTTGTCTTTATTATACATTTATCATGTGGTGTATACTTTTTCAGAATATGATTGATACAATATTGTACCTATCCGTTGTTCAATATGAGGCATACTGAGAATTTGGGTATAAAATCAAAGAGGAGAAGAAAAAGAAGAGGGTTTCCACCATCTTTCATGTGCTTTGTATCATTTGATATGGACATATTAGATTATCATTCATTTTATGTTGACACAATAGTAATTCTTCCAAATTTAACTGAATTCTTTCATTTGTCACTGCTAATTAAAAGTAATCTTCGATCTTCATATTGTTCCAATTCTAAAAGCAATATAAGGTCAGTTTATAAACACATACAAGAAGTTGACCACCTTAACAAACTTTTATTTAAAAAGTGTAAGAAAGCAAAGTTCACTTAACAAACTTTTATTTAAAAAGTGTAAGAAAGCAAAGTTCACTTGCCCATTTTAATTCTTTTTAAATAGCTTTAACTTCCACTTTAAGCAAGAAAATGGTGCTTCTCGTTCAAAGCCCGGTCAATTACTTGATACTGTAAGAGCAATTTTATGAACAAAATGATTGAAAAGCAATTTTAGTACTTTTTCGTTCTTGAATTTGTCATCAAAAATGAATTTTGATCGTGTTATTGGATTCCCATAGCTAATGGTTAAAAAGTCCATGCAATTAACCTTACATTTTGACCTGTTAATAATTCAAAGGGTAATATAATAAAATTATATTTCTATTAATCGTTTCGAAAAAAGTGTGCAAAGTCAATATGGACAAATATTGTTTAACAGAAGGAAGGAGTATATGAAATTCTTTTAAAAAACATTTTATATGACAAATTGAAATTATCCGACCCTAAAATGAATATGGCACCTACTAGGTGGGGGATAAAAACATCTTTCCAAAAAGTAATTCCTCTTATTTCGCCGACTTTTAAGCTAGTAAAGTGCACTACAAATGCTTGTTATTTCAAGAGATTGCAGATTTTAGAATAAATTTTCTTCTTATGTGATCTCTCTTCTTAAAGACTTGTATAGAGATATTAAATTTACGGTATTGATAATTAAATTATTATTAAATATAAAAAGATATTTTTTTATAAACTAAAAAGGAAAAAATATTAAATAAATTAACTTAAAACGACGTATTAGACAAATTAATATGTAGGATTTTCATAAATATCGGGGACTAAAGTGTCTTTGCAATACAGAAGACATCTTTCCAACTGTGTTGTTAGAGTTACGGGTGTTTAGCGCAAATTATTAATCCCTCCATCTTATTTTAGGGCAAATTACAGAAATCACATATTTTTAAGATAAAATTATAATTTATCCCTTAAAAGTTTATAATTACAGAAATTCCTCATTTTCGCGCATCAGATTAGTGTATCAGTGCTTATATTATTGTATCTCGCGCATCATATTAATGTATCAGTGCTTATATTATTGTATCTCGCACATCAGATTAATGTATCAGCGCTTATATTATTGTATTTCGCGCATGTATCAACACTTATATAGCTCTGATACATTAATCTGATGCGCGAGATACAATAATATAAGCGCTGATACATTAATTTGATGAGCGAAAATGAGGGATTTTGGAGATTTGTAAAACTTATATGGGATAATAGTAATAAGTAAACTAAAATGTGGGATTTCTGTAATTTTTCCCTTATTTTATGTGATATTTTTTTAGTTGACATGGTATTTAAGAAAACAAAAAACTTTTACAATTTGTTGTCTAGAATAATTTTTAGATGTTTGTGTTGTTGTAATTCATTTAATTAAGAATGAATAGAAAATTTTAAAGTTAAATTATTACTAATTACAATAAAATAATATTTTTTTTTTGAAAAGAAAAAGAAAAAAATGTCAAATGAAATGAAAGGAAGAAAGTATATTATTTTGTTTTTGGCACAAGTGTATTCTCAAATTTAATGGCATTATTCGCTAATAAATCCCCTTGCTAATTATTACTGAGCGACACAATTTCAATAAATATAAAGTATTCAAATGGCTAGAGATTGAGTTTAGGTGGCTAAGTGGAATAGGTGGATAAATTTAGGAGGTTATGTGTAGGATTTCATAAATATTGGGGGCTAAAGTATCTTTCTAATAAGAAAGGTATCTTTCCACCTCAACGGTTAGAGTTACGGGTGTTTAATGCAATTTATTACTATAATTATTTTATTTTTGTACTCTCAAATTTAATAGCATTATTATTTGCTAATAAATCCCCAGCTAGTAAATAACCTCAACAGCTGCCAATCACTCTCTCCGCTTACTCTTTCTCAATCGCCGTTTCTCTCTCATTCTCGAATCTCCAGAATCCGGCCAACATGCATAGACAATCACTCGGTTCATCGGGATCGAAGTTACACCTCGCACATGGAGTCGTCATCGTCGGCGGCAGCAGGGACGAATCCGCCGTCGTGACGGCGGCAGAGTCTCAGAAGATAATGACGAAGGACCAGGCCTCTTCGTCGTCATCACTCTCTAACAACTACGATGAAGGAGAAGAACAAGTACGCAAGTCAATCAAGGCTCTTAACAAGTCATTGTCTAGAGCTGAGAAGTACATTCACCTCATTCCTGTTCTCACATTTCTCTGCTTCTTCATCCTCTATCTCTTCTCTCACAGTCCGTCTGATAAAGGTACACTACATTTTAATCTCGTGATTCAGAGAAAAAACGAACTCGTTTCCTGATTTTTCATGTTTTTGTTTCAGATTTAGCTCAATTTCAAGGATTTGAAGGCTTCACCAAGCGTATAGGTATGTATAATGCACATTCTGTTTCGCAATTGACTTTTTCAATTTATATTTTCAGATTTAGTTCCATACTTCCATTATACTCAAGTATTCATCAATTCAATAAAAAAAAAATCGGCTCTCAATGTGTTTCACATACTTCTCAGATGCCTTGTCCGTATTTTGTTTGCTCTAATGAGTTCTCTTCTCCTTTTTGTTCTGAGTATGCAGAATCAGCTAATATTGACGAGTTGCACAGAGTATTAGAAATTGAAAATCCCCCAGTTTTAGCGATTCGAAGCACAAGGAACTTGCAAGAGATTAATAGACAGGATGCAAAACATCGGCGCCACCGGAAACTCGCCGATTTTTAAGCAGCTGTTTGTGCTTCTCACTCTTCTTTATTCTCCCTATATTACTCAACCACGTATTCATGGCGAATTCACCGTCGGTGGAGCCTCTCTCACGTGCGTAACTCGTTCCTTGCCAATTTTACCGTTTCTTTATTACCACGCCTGTGTGCATGTGAATTTCTTATACTAGTAATTTTGGCTGTTTTGAACAGAATTTAATTAACCGGTGCAGTACTCTGTAAATATTTACTTTTTATATGATGTACCAAAAAACAAAATATTCACTTCCAAGTTTTGGATACGTAAATGGAAATTCCTGTGCTGGAGCTGGAAACTAGAAAGGAAAATATCAAAATTTGTGTTTGTATAGAGTTATAAGTTATAACAAAAGATCTTTTGTACCGACAGTTTTTTTTTCTTTCAGTATTAGCCATTTATCGTATGTTTAAGTTGATTTATTTGGTCAATCAAAACTGTAAAGTAAAAGATTTGATCAATCTTAAGAAATTTAAACAGAATCAATGATTATTGATACCGGTTTATACTACTAGAAATACAATGGATTAGTAGGGACGAAAATAACTTTTGATTAGAAATTTTGCTCGAAATTTTTAATTCTAAAATTGTGAATTTAAGTCCGGAATAGTTATAGATATTGGATAGGGAAGAGGGCTAAAGCCAAAAGGTGAGGCAGGAGTGAGAGTATGATAGAAATATGAATACAGAGTGATTGTGGAAAACAGCTGGAAATTTCGGACCGTTACAGATGCCTCGTGTTTCGTTTGGAATTTCCAGCTGGGTAAGACTTATATATTCATATGCTAAATGCCCTATTGCCTTCTCCCCTAATTAATTAATCGATTCTCTTTTGATATTCTTTACTTTCTCACCCACAAGTTCATCTTCCCTATGTGCTACTCTGCGTTATTTTTTATTCGGTGTTCGGTGTTCGATATTCATATTTAAGTTTGAATATTTTAAATTTGATTGGATAGGGATCCGTTCATTGGGTACACTCTCTATTAAAGATTTTTTCATATTTAGAGCTCGAACCTAAAATATCTATGCTCACTGCACTCCATTGGTAATAGCTTAGTATACTTTTTCTTTTGCTTTTCTTTGTGTATAGAACACTTTGTTTTTTTTTATCAAGATATTTTTAACTTGAAAATTCGGTATAATTTAATAATTTGAATTAAATTTTATATTTATATTTATATTAATATTTTTACTTAAGTATCTATATATTATTCATTTTAAAACTAGTTGTCCTACTCCAAAATTCATAAATTCAATTGGTGGATTCATATATGTTTATTTTCAAAATAATTTTTTTGATAAATCTAAACTAATCTAGCTCTAAAACAAAATGAAACCGAAAACAAAAAAAGTACACTTATCTTTTCCCACTATAAACTTCCATATCCTTTTTTTTTGTGGCTAGATAAACTTTTTTTTTTCTTATTGTCTGGTTAGTGTATTGGAGCTCAACTATTTTGGATTCGCGCGGAGTAAAGTCCTAGGAAGCCCTTGATAAACCTTTTCCTCAACGTGTTGGAAGAATCTTCTTCTGCAATTCTTCCATAACATTTCATTGTCCATATCGTAATGGGTGGTTGTCCATTTCCATTTTCCAATATCTGACCGTGTCATTTGAATTCGTCTATGTTTGGTAACTTTCCCCTATTTTTTATTTTACTTTTGCAGACATATTAGGTGATTGAAGAATCAACCTGAGATGTTTGGTCTAAGGAATGACTTTAGTAACTAAATATTTTCATAAAATTAAATGCGATCCTTCATATTATTTTAGTAACAATAAGCAGTAAAATTAAATATTCTAGAGTCTACCTAGTTGGAATGTTGGCGTTCGATAATGTAGTTTGCTAGACTCTACTATGTACTCCAAGTAAAATTCTAGTATCGTTATTATTCTCTCTGTCTTCATTTATGTGATATTATATTTTTTTATCTAGTCATGAATTAACTTTAAACTTTCTATTTTATCTTAATGAAATGGTGTTGAGAATATCAATAACTAATAAAAGTGTGCTCTCTCTAACGATTTAAGCTTTTAGATGAGATGATCACACACTTCAATATGCCCAAAATCTCACAAAAAAAATTCCAAATCATAAATTTAAATGAATTATGATAGAGATCAGTAGTATTTTTGTTTGACGAAGTTTTTAATAGTATAGTGCTATGTAAAATATTAGACACTAACAAAAGGTAGCATAAGAAAAGTATATCACCAAATAGTCGGTGGGTTACACAAGTATTCTCTCTTCCTCATTGTTGGTCCCATTGAGGTTGCAAAATTCTAACAAGCCATTTGGATAGGACGAAGCATTTGTGTTATTGAATTATTTATGTCACTACCAAAACAAACCTAGCTAGCTGTCTTTAATTCAGTGATGATTTTTTTTGGATAATTTTGATATTTTCTTTTTGGGCCCCCCCAGACAAAAGGTTATGGGAGACTGGGGACCCCACTAATAAACTTTGGTGATTATAGTACCTTTTTTCTTAAAGCTGAGTTTTGCTACTTTTCACTTTTCAGCAATTTGGATACAGTGAAAATTGGTCTGAGAAAGTTCCATTTTCTAGTGTTAGAGAGAGGAGTTAGGGATGAAAATGGGGTAGGGTTAGACAAGGCAAACCCCAAATGGAGCAACGCAAGAAAACTTGATGGGGTAAAATTTTGTTAACTCCTATGTCACGTTGATTTAATAGGAAGCTAATGTGAGACGTATGCCAGTCTTCATATCGATTTAATAGGAAGGCAATGTGAGACTTATATAGTCGTGGACTCTCACCTTAATAGTTAGCTTTTGAGACGTGATTTTGCCTGAATTGTATTAAAGACGGTGCAGTTATATTGAGGGGTAATTTGAAGGGAAAATAGCATAAAAAGTTGATCACTTCATAATCCCAATTATATATTTTGGCACTCCCAACTTTAATATAAGATGTCCATCGATAAAAGTATGCTCTAGAATTTGTGATAAATGTTAAAATTTGAGTGAGCATTAAAGTTTGATTGAATTTCGTTATGCCCACCATTTGAGCCATGATAGAATGTTTGAACAAATAGGGAAAAGGACACTTATAAACTGAAGTAAAGCATGAAATGGACAACATTCAATGTGGATTTGTAAAGTGAGATTTGGAAGTTGATTAGATTTGTCTCACTGGACTTGTTGATCTCTTGTTGGTGGACACTCATATTTCACTGTAGCAACTTTGAGACAATTGAAAAAAAAAAAAAAAACTTAGATACAATTATAAAGACCCGTAAATAGTGAAAAAAAGAAAGTTAAGCCACCTCAAGTCCCAGAGCAAAGGAGGTAATATGTTTATTAATTTGGATAATTGAAAAACACTATTTGAATTGAGAGGCTATTAATGTATTGAGCTTATTAAATTCACGTGAATTCATAAATTACGACCGAGGTTCATCTTTGACCCGCCACCAGTTCATATTATGACATATTATGTGGAAAGTTGAGTGGAATAGGATAAGATTATATAAAACTCAAAACTTAATTTCCAAGGTGCCAAATGGTATTGGCTGTAGTTCTAATAATTGAATTAATGATGTAGAATTTCTTTGTATTATATATAAACTGAACCAACTGCTACGCTATCCAACTTTTTTTCCATCATCATCAATCATTAAAAAAAAAAATAGCTAGATAATCGTGGTAGGTTGGTTAATTATGTCCTTGTCCCTAACCATTTACCTTCTCTTAATTAGGGGGTTGCAGACTTGCTGCAGTAGGAATAATCGATAAGAGGTCCACTCTTAATATTAAGTAATCATTCATCAATTTTATGTTGAGGTTTTTAATATAAAATCATCTTTAATAAAAATTACTTTACTTTAGATGTCACGGCACAACACAAATTTGAATTAATTTGAAGTCAAAGTGGGTGTCGGATGTTGAATTTAAAAGAATAAAGTATTAAAAATATTTTTGAAATTAATGTGAATTGTTAGTTTCGTCCCTGAATCATTGACAACCTAAAAAACATACATTTATTTGACTAACTCAACTTAAATACACCCCTGATCTGCCAAATGACAATAGCAAGTGGTCTCAAAAACTTGTAGGAGTATGAGATTCTTAATAAAAACTGAAAAACCAAGAGAAGTGTTGAAAACACCCTAAACTTGGCAAGAATTTAGGAGTTTATTTCACTCATGTAGCAAGATCAAGATCATGAGTGTATTTAAATTTAGTTAATCAAATAGAAAAATATTTTTAAGGTTGTTAATAGTTAGAGGTGTTTTCGATATCCTCCATTTAAAAAAAGAAAGTGAGAGGGGTCCATTATCACGAGTTCATTTTAAGGGCACGACCTATTATTATTTGTTTGTATGCAATTTCTTGCCCTACTGATTTTTTTGTCAAAGCTAAAAAGGGTTTGCTATCAGATAAGCATCCTATGAATGGAGAAACTGTTTCTTTTACTTGTGGAAGGATTCTTGTGTTTTAAGTCACTTTCGAGCTGCTTTTTTTTTTTTTTTGCTAAACTTTTTCTTGTTTATCTTTAAATTATTTTCGAGTAACGATGGGTGGTGGAAATATAATAGGAAGAAATATAAGGAAAAGATAGATAAAGAGGAATTGTTTTGATTGGTCAACACTCAATTACCTATACTTTTAGTAGCACAATGTAGACCTACAATTACTAGACTACACTAAAACTCCAAATGCTAGCTAAAAATTCAAATTAGCTAACCAATTAAATTATCACAATTTCGCTAATTGATTCTTTCTTGAAAAAATTGCATGAAATAACAAATTATTAATTCAAATTAAATGTTATAGCCATAGTTTATTTTAATTGTAATTCGTAGCAAACATCCCCTTTTTTTGTCATCAGATTTGATATACAATTAACCATTTTCGGTATACAATTAGTCATTTTATACATTTCGGTATAAAATGTGTTTGTGTTTGTATAAAGTGAGAGAAAAGTGTATACAAATACAAATACATATATTTTCGTCCTATACACTTATAATTATATAAATACAGATCTTATTATACAAATTACAATGTATAAATGAATTTATACAAAACTGAGCAATTTGTATAAAACTAGATATTTGTAGTGAATTATACAAGTCAAAAGTTCCATAGCAAACATAAAATTTGTTATGGAGCGCAATTATACAAACTATAGTTATAACATACAAATATGATTTTTATGTTTGCTATATGTGAAAGTTGCTCTTTTTTCTTTGTCTCAATTTATACGATACAAATTTAAATTTAATTTCAAGAGTAAAATCTGAAAATCTTTTATCATGATTTATTTGTATGCCTTAACATTAAACATTTTAAATTGCTAATTCTTATGAATTAATAG